ATATTTTGAAAACCATGAAAAGTCCTAAACATTGATTACAATTTTTGCTTTAAATCATAGCCATAGACTTAGCCAACTTGAAGCCGTACTATGCTTACCTCTCATGGATGAGAAAATCTTTCATCATAGTACATTGAGAATGCATTAAGGCTATTTAAGTGTATACAGCTTTCATTTGGGGCCTACATAATCCTCGAGATTAAAGGGTAGGATCTGACTCCTAAAAAGTGTTGACTAGAATTAATAAAAGGGAGAAAAATAAAGGAAGTGGATTTCATAGCTCAGTCTCCATGAATCAATTTCAGACCAGAAAAAACAAATGAAACTGTTCAGATGTCTAACCCCACTATCTCACATAATGTTTTTCTTTCATTTTTATATACTGTAATTCAAATGTTGCCAATTGTAGTTCTATTTTCACAACTGGTTCCAACATTTGAGTGACTTGAACCTTCATTGGTACGTTGGTAAACATAGTGACTAACTGCTTAACAAAACAGTTAACAAAGCAATGTTTAACTGCTTTGAACTTGGTATTAAATGCTTTAAACATAGCAATGAAGTTAATGGTTTCAGTCATTGTAATCTAATGATCCTAAATAGACAAAATGATCTAAATTGTAATGTGTAGTGTAGTGTAGTGTCAGAGCATGCTTTTCTCCACCCCCACTCCTCTGCTTGGCTGACTCGGATTTGCTGTGTGTTCCCTGCCCTCTCCATCTTACCATCAGTGACTGAGCTTTCAGATTCTTTGCCTCTAACCTGTGGAATTTTACCCCTATCGATTTGTCTTGAAGCATCTTAACATAGCAGCAGTTTAATCTGCAGGAAGTGAAGTGTTTCTGGCTGCCTCGCTCCTGAGTAATGCAGGAGCGTTCCATTGACTGCAACAAAAGTGGTTTGTTTCCATGATGTATATTCTATTTTTGTTTTGTATTTAAAAAAGCTAGATGCATTTATTGAGGTTATGATTGTGACTTAATTGGCACTATTGTCCTGTTTTGTGTATCCTGTGGCAGCATGGTTGGGCCAAATGGCCTGTGTTCACACCACATCAGTCTATGTAACTCTATGTATGCACTATCACCTTTCATTTGTCAAAAGGTTTTGGGCTACTCAAGTATACAGATTTCAGTGTAGGAATGCTCTGAATTTGAAATCTAATTCATATTTTTATTTTGTGAGGAAAGCTTCCCAGTGCCAGGTGGAACCGTTACATCGGCAGGTCAAATCCTCTATTTTGATTTCCCTCTTCTCTTAAACCCCCCCCATTTTTCTTATTGTCCCGCCCTACAATTCCCCCCCATGATAAATTTGACCATTCTTTTCATGGCTGTTGTGGAACAATGCAGTTTTGTAAAATGGCTTTTCATTTTCCTACAAATACAGTCACAGTACTTTACAGTAAATCCCATGAAAAGTTTTGATATTACCTTCCTGATGTGAAAAGCTCTGCATCAAATGCATTATTGTTATTGAAAGGATTTTTCATGATATTCTAGCAAAAATGATTAGGATCTTCTGAAATAGGCAGGAGTGATAGAAACTGGAGTGATAGCTTTTCATTTTGTATTGCAGTTTCTAGGCGCAGATTACAGAGGCAGCGCAGGGGTATCTTGCAGCTGAGTTGATTTTTTTAAAACTTTTTTTAATCCTTGCTGTGCAATGCAACTAACCTTGACTTTTGCAACTCAGCAATTGGAGTAAAGTAACTGGTAGTATCATAAAGAGCATGATAGCAGCATCAGAATGTTCAAAAGCTGGCTGTAAAATTAGTTGGAACAATCCTGAAGCCAATATTTTGTGTGTGGAGAGAATTTAATGTTCTCCCTCCGTGTAGTAGAGGATGCTTCACTTTTACAAACTAGGTTATGTTTTACATAGATTTACAACTACATGTTTGTTGTAGTTTTAAATGAAAGATTCCCTAGGAGCATTGGTGAAAGAACTTGAATTTCACCCAAAAACTCTTGGGAATGTTGAAATTATAATATACTGGAACAGAATATTGCTATGAATTGCAATTTCTTAGTATAAGCAACAGTGTTCTCAGTGGGACAACTGTTTTACTTATAGCACCTATCATGTAAGATGAATGTATTTCAAAGCACCTCACATCAAAGTTGGAAGTCCCTAAAATGGGAGAAAAAGAGTGGTGATCAACGACATGAGATGCATGTTGAAGAGATAAGTGTGAGGGAAAAGATTTATGAAGAGTTCTGGAGAGTAGGACTACAATGACAGTTGATGTTACGAAGGAGGGAGTGAGGAATGAGCAGTAGACTAGAATGAGAAGAGCGAAATGCATGGTCAAAAGAATACAGTCGATTTTGGAAAGATAGGAAATTGAACCTTTTGCTGAGTGCTCTTTTTGAGTGCAGAAGTAATGTTAACCGTGTGGTTTTGTGCCTTCTGGCGAGCCACGGTTCAGGAATGGCACAAAAGGCCCAATGTACTAGGAATAATATTTTTACAGTTGCCTTCCAGGAAGAACCTGCTCATTAAGGAGATGGAGCAAATAGTCTACACTCGATTTTTCCTTTAACACACCTTAATGTTCCCAATAGGATTAATGGTTGCACGAACTTACAAAGTACAGCTATGTTGCTTGTTCTCGAAACTGTTCAGTCAATATTTGTGATCGCTTTGTAGAATATAGCTGTAAGGCGGGGGAACTTCCTTCAAATCTGTTTGAACCAAATATTTCATTCCAAATGTTGAGTATTCAAAAGAAAAGTGATATTGTTTTCAGTGAATAGAGTATTTACTTTGGAAAGAATAATATTTTGGGGAAGTTTCTTGAGCGCTTCAATGCAACTAATATCGTCTGAGTGGGTGCAGCAAAGCCTTGTTCGTAGGGATGTCAATCCTGATTTAAATCTTCCAAGTGCACCGCACAAATGGAATTGTTAATTTTTCATTCAATCAGATCAACCTTCAATTCTGGAGGACACAAGTAAATGGTCCGGAAAAATAACCTTGTAATATTCCTGTTTGCTTCTTGATTTCTTTGTAACTTGACTAACTATACAGCACTCAGGAATATGTGTTATTGCCAAAACAAACTTTTAAAAATTCACATCTGACTCTGGAAGTCTGCACCACATCAAACTTGAGCCAAAGCATGGCTAGAATTTTTCTTTCCCTCTCTCTGTTCTACTTTAAGTGGGTACCAGATTCCCTCTAGCAATGGAATCTTTTTGAAGAACGACAAAAGTTATTTTCACAATAATTTGCCTATTAACAGCTCAAGAAAATTGGGATGGAGGGGAATGGATGGTGATAGACCACTGCTTGTCAGGAATACATTTCATGATGAATGTGAAATTTCTTGTCTCAATTTTTAAAAAGGTCCCACCTTTGACTTGCAACAGTGTGGTAACAACCCCACTTTAATTTCGACTTATTTTCCTCTTCCTTGTACTCCTTAAACAGAAAAAAACAAAGATTGCCAAAAAAAACCATAAGCTATTTAGGGGGAAGAAATGAATCTCAATACTAACGTTATTCCGTAATTTTTCATGTCCTACATGTAGCTGTATGACAGCTTGCCAAGACTTTTTCCTTCTAAAACATCAGTGCCTTGTGGATTATGCAGGGCAGCTCCACTCTAACATGGTTGGCTGGATGGTGACCTGATGACGCAGAAGTTTTCCATTTTTTAGTGTGGGAAGTTGACTTGTCAGTGCTGGGAACTGGGCATCGAGTTAGCATGAACCACAGTATATTCTGTAAGTGCCGCTGCACTATATTGAACAGCACTATAACATGGTTTTCTCTGTACTGACAATCCTAAACTTATCCCATTTTCATTTTTAAAAAAGCTAACCATGTAGCAGCTAAACTGCTTATAAGAAAATCTGGCATGGAAGAATGCCATTTTGCTCACCAGGATAAATATAAAATAAATCTAAATAAATACATATAAATTGGAATGGGGAAAAGGCAGCTAAATGGGATTAAACTGATATCTTTTTAAGAGAGCAAGGATATGCACAATGGGCCAAATGACCACCGTCCGTGTTACACATTTCTTATGATTATAGGTTTGTTCCCTTTGTTGATGTTGTGTACAATCCGCTACACCAGACTCGGAGTCCTAGCCCAGAATCATATGCTTTGTTCTTTTCTATAACCTCAAATTGCGCTAATTATTAGTGGTGTTGATTTTAATGGGTAAGAAGCAGTGGTGTATATTCAATATAAAATAAATTGACAATAAGCACACTAAGAATGAATGCTGAGTGTGAATAATCATAGTATGCTTCTGCAATAGGCTATGGATAAAGGTGTTAGCTTGACGCTTGCTTTTCTTTTTCTCTCTTGCTGCCCCCCTCCTCCCATTCTTAGTTATAGTAGTATTGATAGCTTTTTAAAATAATTGGGTAAAAATCGAAATCTGTGCAGCTTTGTGAATATTGATTTTGAAGTTCTGACTGAAGATTGAAGAGATGTAGTGGTACTGAGTATTGAGTGCTGTTGAACAGGGAGTGAGGTGCATTGGTGTGTCCTGGAATGTTGAGCGCATGGATTTTTGAGGTGGAGACGTTTCCATCAGAGACTGAGGAGAGAGAGCAATCAAGAGATAAGGAATCGTACCAGGGCAGTCTCTTGTCAATTTATGTGAGTGGCCACAGGGACATTGGCAGCCCCTGGGAGCAACCCAAGAGTCATAAGAAGATTTTCTGCTAAACTAACTTTGGCTTTTGTTGGCCAAGTAGTACTGAAGTGAACAGAAAGAAGTATTGGGTAGCTTCATCTATTCGTTCTTCGGCAGATTTTATGGATTGTGACTGAATTTGTTTGCAGAGTTTGAAAATAACTGGTGTGAACAAGTGCTCTTACCAGCATTATGATGTAGGTGACGCATAATATAGCATCATAGCAGAGGTGTTGATCTTCAGTGTGCTGAACTTCTGTTTGAATGTACGATGGAGAAATCTTTGTAGTTGTTTATAATATTACCTTATTCACTAATGTGTATAACTTTTTTGTTCCAGATCTGATTCAGTGCACAAACGAGATGAATGTAAACATACCTCAGTTGGCTGATAGCCTTTTTGAGAGAACTGCAAACAACAGCTGGGTGGTGGTATTCAAGTCTCTCATCACAACTCATCAACTAATGGTTTATGGAAATGAGGCAAGTTCAAGCAGCATTCTCAAAGGTTTGGTGGCAGAAGGGTTTGTGTGCTGCTGAAGTGTTTTCAATGTATTACCCTGTATTGAGCTATAAAGTACTGTCGGATATAAATGTCTAAGGAGTAAACAATAAGCATGGAAAATGTTAAATTTGTAAAGTATTGATATGCAAGGACCAAGTGGCCTGTTCAAGTGTTGTTTATTTTATTTTTATTTTATTTGCATCTCCTCCCTTTTACTCCCCACTTCCCCATCTACACCTATCATTGTCTCTCCGGAGCATATACTGCTTCTCATCCAGAGCTGACAGCTTACCCCTTCCAAGCTTCTGCTTGTGCTGCTTGTTAGCTGTCTGCTATCAAATTTAAGAGAATAGTTAACTTTCCCCACGGACCTTGTGGGAAAATTGTTGACTGGTCTCGTAGTGAATCAAGGCTATTAACCTGGGTCTACTCTACCAAAGCTTTGGAGCACCAAAGTAACTTTGCTGTCAGCTTGGTTGTTCAAAGCTATTGTGTAAGTTTTTTAAAGGATGTGTATTCATTTTGTGTTTTATTATTGGCTTACGTTGTTGAACTAATGATGTTTAACTATTTCTTTAAAAGCAGGATGAGAAATTTAAAAGAACTACAGTCATTTTTCTTTGTCTTCTTGTATAGCGATTTATCCAGTACTTAGCTTCAAGAAACACATTGTTCAACTTGAACAATTTCCTAGATAAAAGTGGATTGCAAGGTGAGTGTGAATCCAACAGAGCAGATGTATTTATGCATCTATCTTACCTCTGACTGCAGAGGAATTTTACAGGAAAGAAACTTATCAATATTGTGTTTGTTGAATACTTCCTTTGAAACCAAACTTTAGATATTAGATTTTTATATTAAAAAAACTCAAGCTATTTTCTACTGTAAAAGAGCCACTAAACTGCACACAAAACTTTACAGTGGAGTTGATAGTATATAGCTGAGAAACAGTAGTTAATGTAACACTTTCAAAGAGGAAAAGTTTGGATTCAGCTTAAATAGTGCCTTGAAAAACAGTGTACTGCATATAATGGTAAAAATGTCTAATGTTGTGCTTCTTTTAAACTGTCAGCATTATCTGTTTGTGTGTGTGCATGCACCAATATTCCCTTTCCCTTTCTCCCCCTCTCCTAATGTTGGTGGGTCATGAATTCACAGATGTCAGCAGTTCTCAGGTATCTGACCCAATTAGCCACTATAATGGTTACGTTACTGTTGCTGTCCATATAATATTACTCTATCTTCTGTCTGAAAATTGTAACATTTACAAGGAGTTATACAATGGCCTTCAACTTGAGCTTGTCAAATGGAAGAAATCTGAATACTGTGAAGGAATTTTTTTTAGTATCATTCCCTCTGTTATTCAAAGAGGAAAGATCGAAGCCGCCACACAATGTCAAGACCCACACTGACTATTGCAGGTGGATGTTCAGAGTGCACTAGTGAAATTGCATGGACAAATCCGAGGCCCTGATATCCTGCAGGAAGATCTCTTAAATAATGTCTGACAATGTTTGTACCAGATTGCTGTGATTGTTACACTATTCCCAGGGTATTGCAGCATTTTGTCTGCAAGCGCTATGCTGGTCACCAAAAATTGTCACATTGGTGGTTTAGAAGCAATGATAATGCTTTCGAACTATGCAGCACTGATCATGACCTTCACTATGCTTTTCAACAACTGACCATATTTAATGCCCACCTGCTGATCCTTGTCTACATCCTCATCTCAAGATGCATCTCTTTGACTGTGCTTTCAGTCAACTTTCGCCTTCCCACTCCCAGCTCAGGTGCCCAGCCAGCAGGGTCAAGCACTTTGAAATGTTTATCTGCATTAAAATGTTCCATGAAAAAGAGGGATATAATGTGTGCTTGCAAAGGTCATTTCTCTTCCCCCGCTGCCATTATAAAGCACTCTGAGACTTTAGCTTACATACACTATTCAAATTGTTGTAGATGTGCCTTTAACTTTGCAAATCTACATTGGTTTGTGCTTACACTGTTAAAGCTTGAAAAATGCTTGTGCAGTCTTGTCTTCTCATCTCCTGATTGATTTAGCAGCCAGCCACGATAAATATTGCATTCTGTTAAGTCCACCGAATATAGCTACCCCACGCGTCCAGCGCTTATAAAGGGTGAGGGAAAAAAACAAGCAAGTCCTAACTCTCTCAACACTTCGTTATCTGAATTCCACCTTTTAGTCTCTTTACTGAAACAGGTTCTGTCACTTAATGCATTTACTGTTTCCTGATTTAAGTAATTGAGGCCAAAGGAGCTCAACTTAACTTTATTTACATAGGTGATAACTAAAATTTTCTTTCAAATTAATTGGTGAGTGCAGAAAGTCAACTTGGATATGCATGCCCATACAGACTGAATATTTTTATAACTGCATGTACATTTTTATGCCTTTCGACTGCTGTTCATTTCATAACATTGAAATTAAGTCATCTTATGTTTTTAAGGATACGACATGTCTACTTTCATCCGACGGTATAGTAGATACTTGAATGAAAAGGCGGTCTCTTACAGACAGGTCGCTTTTGACTTCACAAAGGTGAAAAGAGGGTAAGGAATAATGAGAAAATGTCTGGTAATTGTGCAGAATGGATTCTGATGTTCTAAACAAGCTCAGTGGGAATTATTGGAATGTTGATTGCTGTAAAATCCAGAAATTTGCACACAGTGAATATTTTTGCTTTTTGCATCAATCAGTGGAAATTTAATATTCTGTCTGCACCTGCTCTCAGCCTGACCCTGCACCAGCACTGTTTCCATTCCTGCCTTTTATTGCTTATGGCTCATTACCTGGCTCTGATCTTTTGCATCAAATTTTAATTCATAGTTTTGCAGGTTCTGGGAGAATCTGTGGTGTGGAGAAAGAGAAACTGATTTAACCATATATCAAATCTGTGGAACATCAAATCATGTGTGAGTTGTATCGTGCAAATATTCAGAAGAATCAAATGCAACCTATATTAATAATCTCCACTGAGTTCTTTTGATTTCTAGCCTTCTCTAGACAACTTACCTCAATTATAATAATAATAATCCTTGCATTTGATATAGCGCTTTTCACGTCTTATAGACGTCTCAAAGCGCTTCACTGAATAGACTGTAAAGTGAATTGACTGTATATTTATGGGCGAAATGCGGCAGCCAATTGCGCACAGTAGTGTCCCACAAACAGTTGTGAATTGAAGTGACCAACTTATTACTGTTTTTTGAGGGATTATCAGGTGTGTGGAGTAAGGAAACTTGCCCAAGATTTTGACCTGCCAGGAATCGAACCCAGGTCTCTCGCTTGTGAGGCCAGTGCTCTAATCACTGAGCTTTTAAAGGGAGCAGGGCTCATTTTTAACTTATTTTTAAAGTTGCAGCAGCTTCTGCTCAAAGTTGTACCACTTACACAATCAAAATGCAAGTGAAAATTCAGATTAGTGCCATCCACGTGTCAGCAAATTCAATTCTCTTATCTTGAGGTAGGTAGTCCAGTGTGGTTGGAATAAACATTACCAGTCTCCTGACCAATCCCAGAAAATAATCATTTCTCATACCCCTCAATTGAATTATTTGCCAAATTCTCTTCAAAAACATGGTACAATCTATCTTCCTGGTTAGTGTATTCCAGCTATTCAGTACTGTATGGTTCCAGAAAAACCAGTAGTGCCACCAAGGTTTTTTTTCTTGAATGTAAATGTTGACATTCTTCATTTTCTTGTGGTGTAAATATGTTTATCAGCAATAATATTTTATTGCTTCAGTTATCTGATTATTGAAATGAAAAGGACAGAGGTGTGAAACAGCTAAACTGTTTATAGGAATCAACGAAGTCTGCTGTGATTCTTTTTGAAGATCCCTGCTTTATTTATACAGAAATTAACAATTTAGTTTACTCTTTGTATACTTGCATTGGGGAGTCTGCACCACTTGCCTAATTTCTGACCCTATGGGGCAAAGTATACTGTGTGCAAAGGAGATACTTGTCTAAAATCTTCTAACGTAATCCAATCAGTAATATTTTAATTTAAAATCTTAGTTCTATCTATAGGACGATGCATTAAGAGGTCATTGTGGAAACAAATTTATTATTATCAATTGTAAAAGTACACATTTGAATAATTTTAATTGTGATGGTGAGAATAAATATTTAGTCCTATTTTGAATTTGTCTAATAGAATTTGTGCATAGCAATTCTTTTTTGTTTTTTAAAACAAAATGCACAGTATAGTTTTTTTGTTTTTTTAAAAAAAAGCCCTTTCCAATTTACTAATTCTGTTACAGTCAATAGGCAATGTTTTGCAGTTTGTCTCCTTTTGTAAAAAATATCCCTGCAGATCCTGACTTAAATGCATTTCAACAAACGTCCAGATAATTGCAAATATTTTCCGCCTTAAATAATCGGTGATTCAGGATTGGAGCAATAACTGGAACATCGCCTGCCTCCACTTCATTTCATCTTGAATACTGCCAATATTTTTCTCACCTCACTACTGCATTTATTCAATACTACTCTCACTGGTTTCTCTAGCTCTATTCTCCATAATTTCCAGCTCTGTTAACCAGTGGCCAGTATTGTCTATCAATCCCATCTTTGCCAGGTTCTACTGGCTTCCTGCCTCAGTGGATTCACCTAGTTCCTTGTCCTTACGTTCATGTTCTTACACCACCTTACCTCTGCGAGTCTTCTCCAGCTACTTCTGTTGCGCCTTCCGCTACCCTAACTCAACCCACTGCTTTCCCACTTTGCCCCGTTGTTAACACTGTCTGTAAAAAACGAAATGAGATGTTATCCTACACGAAAGGTGGGATATAAGTGCAAATTACTGTAATTGAATAATAGGATTGGCATACAAATAGTACATCGCGCCATTGAAAACATCCCATACGCGTTCTCTGTACATTCCTGCAGCACACAGCTTTCTGCTATCTAACTATCCCCAATATGTATGGATCGAAGGTAGTAAATTAGATATTATTTGAAATGAATAATGTTGGCAGTATAACTGATGGGACAACTGGATTGATCTGTATTTTGGTCCTGTTTCAGGCTTATTGTATTTTCGTAAAGCAAGTTGTATGATAAATATACACATTCTTTCAGAGCTGATGGAGTCATGAGAACAATGAGCACAGAGAAACTCCTGAAGACTATGCCCATTATACAGAATCAGATGGATGCTCTCCTGGACTTTAATGTGAGTTTTAACTCCACGCCACATGAACATGCTTTTACGTGTGGTGTCTGCAATGATTTTCTGCACCATCAAAAACCTGGTAAAAATATGTTTTCAAGTGGATTAAATATTTGCTTCCCATAGATGCATGTTTGGTATGCTGGCACCTATTTAATCATTCTTTGGATATGAAACTGACGTTCTGTAAAGCATTATAATGGCATGATTCACTTGTTTTTATTTGTATTACTGACATTTTGTTTTTCATAAAGATGATAGATGTACCAATAATTTTTTAAAAGCTTTTGAAGCATAGATAGCAGGAAAGGGTGACCAAGCATGAAATACCTGGAATAATGAAAATAAACACACAAAGTAAATAGAATTGGAAATTCAAAGTAGTGTGGTTCATGCTAGCTAATTATGCGGAATGTGCAACACATTGTATTTTGCAAAATATGGTTTGAAAAATGATTCTTTTAACCCCTTAAAAAGGGCATATAGAATACAACAGAATGTTTCAATTATTTGTTTGTTTCAAAATGTCTCCAATTTACCTGAATCAGGAAACAAGCAAACTCGTAACTCGCCATGATCATCGAAATAAAAGATTCAGGGTTCTTAAATGATGACATATGCCAAAAAAATCTAACTTTCAGGAATTTAGATGTATAGGCCACACTCGCCAATGGTCTACTGTTTCCTGAAGCTATTACTAAAGCAGGCAATTTTCATGAATTCTCAGAAAAGAGATGGATTTTGTTGGGCTTCTGTTTGGCGAAAAGTGAAATAATTTAGATTGGATTTTATAAATTATATTTGGATTGGAATTGGATTTTTACAAAAAAAAATTCTAGGATCTGGCTGAAATTAGTCACCTTAGGGAATCAAATTTATAAGCATGTCTGCTCTGCCACAAAAATGGTGCTCTAGCTGATAAGTAGTTAATGTCACAATATGTCCTTTATTTGACAATGTGCGTTCTAAAATAATAATTCTTGCATTTGATATAGAGCCTTTTACACCTAAAGTGTAGACTAGGAATTCCACCATAAGTGCGTCGTCAGTCACAACACACTTCAGCAGAGGAAGTTCTTGCCAGCTACTCTATAAAGAATGTGTAACTTCCAAATATAAATGTAAAGTGCTGAATTTATGTGGTTTTCAAATGGGAGAGAAGTGGGGAAGAAATCTCATTTGAAAGTACAGTATCAGTTTGCCATTTCAGTCCCAGCCAGAGGAAGAGGGTTACAATGTAATGAATCTAATTTCCATTCTGTTTACTACAGGTCAATTCCAATGAGCTCACAAATGGGGTGATCAATGCAGCTTTCATGCTTCTCTTTAAGGATGCCATTAGACTGTTTGCAGCATACAATGAAGGGATCATCAACCTGCTAGGTGAGGTATCATTGCACTTGAATTGTGTAATAAGAGTTTCTTTCTGAACATGAGATTGTAAGTTTGATGCTTGTTACATGGCTTTTACGTTGGATTGTGGAGAAGTGTGAAGATAAGACGAGCATGTCTACTTGGGGTAGGCTTTTTTTTCTCCTTTGGAAACTTCTAGTTTTTTCTTCCGTTTTTAATTTGCTATGTGGCTAAAAGTACAGCATCCGACTGTTCTACCTTTTGCTCTCAAATTACAAATGTTCCCTTTGAGAATTAGTGCTTTTAAAATTATTATATGAAAAAAATGTGTAAAAATTTGAGCTTATTACTGTTATGGCTTATCTTGACATCCTCTGAACTTTACATTGTTTTCTTGAATGATAAATTTTACATTTATATTTGGCCTTTCATGTAAGGAGGACACCTTAAAAGACCTGAAATTTCTTGAATATTTCCTTCTGTCTGATGTGGAATTGTTGACAGTGCATTAGTGTGTTTATTTCTCTTGTCTACCTACTTTTTATAAACTTCTTGAGTTCTTGACTTTGATGTTTGCTTGCTCCATTTACTATAATATTTACAATGGGAGATTTGAATGAAACAGTTTTACAATCCACACATTTGTATGTGTATGTATAACGTTTTGGCAACACGAGCATTATAAAATGATATAATAGAAAAACACGTTTGAGCCAAATAGACATTTTTAATCTGAAGTAAGAAGAACGTTATTTCAAAATAAAAATTGTATTGTGTAAAATATGGTTTGGAAAGCTAAGGTGACCACATATTACTGCATTCGGCTGTTAAAGCAAATCTGAAAATAGTTCTGCCGGTGAATAGCAGGCCATTCCGCAATTTAAAAAATCTTAGTGTTTGAATAGTTGGCATCATAACATTAGTCTGCAAAGTAATTGACTGCATCATTGCATTGTGTTTGACATTTTGTTTTAGAATGATGTTATCAATGTAGATTTACATTGATTGTAAAGAATAAAGTGGGTTACAATAACCTGAGTACTAACATCTGACCTGCCGATTAATTTTGGCAAAAGAACAAATTGTACACATTCTAAATTTATAATGATACATTTGTTTCCACTGATCCACGCTAATGGTACAATGTTAAAAATGCTATGGCGCCAGTTTTACTTCGGGGGGAAAAAACACTGGATGTGAGCCTGTTTTATATGCTCTGGGAAAATTAAGAAAGATAATATTATTCAGAGGCCTTTTATGAAGTTTTCTGAAAGAACGCTGTCCGTCAAGGTTTAACTTCAGAAGATGTAACATAGCAACCGTAGATTGCAAGGTAGAAATAGGGAGTCGTTAGAAAAATCCCTTGTCCTACTACATGTTGATGCATCAACAATCTAAGCTTACTTATTTTTTTCTGCTGACATGAAAGATTGCACCACATGTGCTCTGTACAGCTGAAGTCACTGGATCCCAATCAGGATTTGGAAGTCTTGCTGATCTCGTTGAGGTTACTACAGTTGACTTTGGTGCTCCTAAGATAGCGAGAGAAACAACAACTTGCAGTTATACAGTCAGTGCCTTTTATATAAATGAGTGGCTTCAATACTTGACAAATATAGTGGCAAATGTCAGACTGCCCAACAAGGGCACCACCAGTATGGTTTCAGCACTTTGAATTTAGTACTATCAGAAGTTTACGATCCCCTGAAACCCTGAGGAAAGGTGGCAGACTAAAAAATAAGTTGCTATTTGCAACTTAGAAACAATTGTGAATATCTGTATTCACACTTGGCCTTGATTCCATATTTTCTCATAAGAACATAAGTTTGCTAGGCGAAAGAAGACTAGGGTTCATTTAGTTCGCCTTCCACTATCCTGGCAGTCGCTTGACATGTTGTGTCCCAAGCTATATACTCAATCCCAAAATATTATTTTCTAGCAGAAATCTATCTCATTTTATCTATAACATTTTCTGCTTCCACTGTCTCCTTAATGAGCCTGTTCCATAAGTTTACTACTAGCTCACTGAAGTATTGATTTGGCATATTTTAATTTTTTTTACCCCCCTTGATTCCAATGTTCAGTACAAGATAAAACAGCTTATCATGGATTTTATATATATGTATATAATGTATATACTGTCACTCCACCTCCTCTTCGCCCGATACGGTCCTTACTAAACAGTGTGAATCCTTCCAGATTTGTATCCCATTGAATGGAATTATTCCGCCATATCTCTGTGATGCTAATGATATCCAATCTGTCGCTCCTTGCAAGACCTTCCAGGGTCTCACATCTTGTTGGCCAGACTTGTTACATTAATGCTTTGGATTCTGCAGTGCAATGTAAACTATGCTTCTGGTGCTTGTATATTCATCCAAATTGCTGCTGCAATTCCAGCAGATACAGGCGACTTCAGAACTGATTCTAATTTAACCTATTTTCAGGTTGTGCTCCAGTCAAATCCAACATAAGAAGAAAACCCTTGTCTTATCAAATTCAAATGTCCCAAAACGCTTCACAGTTAGTTCCTATGATGATTACTTTTGGCAAACACTATTTGTCTCACAAACGGGTCAATGACCAATTTGAAATTTTTGCCTTTCGCTGGGAGAAACTCTCATTTCCTTATGAGTAATGTCATAGGATCACCAACATTCACCAGAATAAGCAGACTGGACTTTGGTTTAATCATCTCATCTGAAAGACAGCACGTCTGACAATGCATTCCCTCGGTATTGTGCTGGAAGACTATAGACTTTTCAGCTAAAGTCATGACTTGGGGCTTGAAGGCCAGAATCCAGAGTGCTGCCAAATGAACCATGCTGAGATTTCAATATAACTTGTTCATCCTTCACTGCAAAATGACCTTTATACTTTTTTTAAAAAAATTGTCACTCAATCCACAACTGTTTGTGGGACCGCAGTGCGAAATTGGCTGCTGAGTTTCACCCACAAATATAGTCAATTCACTTTACTTTATATTTTGTGAAGCGCTTTGAAACGTCTTGAAGATGTGATAAGGTGCTATATCAAATGCAAGCATTATTATTATTGCTGTAGATTTTATATCTATTACTCATTTCACACAAAAAGTGACATTAGCAACTTTCTGTGCAAAAAATATCAGCAGCGACTTGAGCCGAAATGTGGCTTTTTAAGCGCGGAAAACCAACTAGTCAGCACCGGAATCCAGTGCACTGTACTTCCGGTTTAGTCCCATCCACAATATGCCCATGCGATAAGCGGATCCACGCTAATTAAACTGTGGAGCCTTATGGCAGATTTTGAGCAGAATTTTTACACTTCTCAAAAAACAGACACTTATTCCCCTTGTAGTTCTTTAAGGATTACTAAAACTCAGGAAATAAAACTAACCTGTTGCAAGATACCAGAGGGGCTCAGCACTCGTGGAACTGTGCTCTTGACATGAGCCGTTGCTTCAGGAAAAGTTTTTTTTTAAATTTGGTGTTCCATATATGCTTCTTGCACATTGAAATTCCCCCGTGTCTGGAAAGCCATACATTGCTTACCTAATTCCAGAGAATATTGGAGCAGTTGGCAAGAGGCAAGGCTTGGGGATCCCATTGTGTGCATTGAGTTACTGCTTAACCAGCTAAACAAAAACACGGAACTTGTCATTGAAAGCTCCATCTGGGAAGCTTTCTGCTGCTTGGACCACTTTACCTTTTAGGGCTTTGGCAGTTAATGGGAACTGAGGAAGAATCCCTTCCCCCAGTGAGTCTGCCTGTCCGAGTCCTGCCAGCACGTCAGGATGGCTGGTCTGTTATCAGCAGTGCTCGGGAGTACTGCAAATCTGTGGAAAGGATGATAAAGACTGTGATGAAAGATGCTGACCAGCAATGGTTATTTGTGCTCTCAAGGCACTTTATGGTAGCTGAGGTTTCTTGATTCAGCGCATTCCTTTCTGTCAAAATGGCTCAATCAACTTTGAGTTTTATTTGCTAAATGTCCTGCCTTTGTTGGTGTTTGTATGAAACTGAAGCTGGGACAGCACTTTTGTTTTCTTTCCCCCTTCCTTCCTCCCTTCTACATCTTTAATTTTAAATCTTTGATATGGGTGTGTTTAGCAAGCCATAACTTGAAATGTTTGATGATTTGTACAATGTATTTGATGTGTATCCCTCTAAAACTATTTTCAAATGAATATTTACTTTGAATTCTGGCTTGATCTTTATTTTATGGATGTGAAGCGGTATTTTCCCATGATAAGCATATGTTCAAAGATTCATTATTGAATCCAGTAGAATAACCAAATGTATCCGGTGAACTAACTGTGTACTTTTAAATATGTTCTCTGTAAACCTGCATTCTTTTTGCCTAGATTTAATACAGGAAATGTATCTGTTGAGTTATGAGCTGAGGGATGAGGGAGTTGGTAATACTCATGGGTCCTATTTTTTGTGTATGTATGTATATATAGTACATATATATACACACACACATATACAGGACCTGTATGTTCAGGAATTGTGGTAATTTGGGATTTTTTCTGTTTCAACACACTTGTACCATTTGAGCATTAGAATTTTTTTTAAAAACCTACAATTCTTCACATACGTTGCACTCTGTATAATTACATTGAATCAGGCCCGGATGGAAGCCATGCAATTATATAGACGGGGGGCAACAAACATCCTGGGCGCCCCTCCCCCACAAGTAGAGGTCACAATAGGGCGGACCATTGTACCCTGACTGGTATCTATGGTTGATGGGGAGGGGGAGCAAAATTGCCCCAGTTTGATTCAGGATTGAACCAGGCTACCGTCACTCACACCTCAAGAATTGTCTGGATTAAAGGCAGGTAAATAAAAGGCACGAAAGTAGCAACAAAGCGAACGAGTGGGTCAGGCAAGGTGCACTGACACCAAGGTTTGTGAGGCCATGGCCATAGGCGATGGATGTTTGTATGTTGGAGGAGGGGTGAAGGCCTCTTGGAGGAGTGGGGGTTTGCACACTGAAGATTTGACAAGCGTGGCAGATTGATTTGAGGGACTTCTTTCCCCCCAAGACTAAAGTTTTAATTTTAAGATGTTTTTATCATTGTCGTATCATTTTGCTCTTGGTTTTTAACAATTTTAACATTTCTTAACTTTTGGACATTCTCTTAGTATTTTGCTTTTGAAATAAACTGTTTGGGTCCCCATTCCTTGATCTTCTGCTGACAGTGTGCAAGTATCCCAAGTAGCATGTATCCTCACAAACTTTGGTCGCAGTGTCAGTGGAATTTCACCTGACTCACTCCTTCCCTTCTGTTGTCACTTTTGTGCCTCTGACACCTTTTACTGGCACCTGCCTACCTTTAACCCAGGCACTTCCTGAGGTCTGATCAATAGCCACCTGGCCCAATCCCAAATCAAACGAGTGATTTCACTCCGACCTCCCCACCATAGCTGCGGGTCTGAAAGTACAGCATTTGCAAAGAAAGTCAACACTGTGAGTTCATTCCTCAGGTCAACGTTTTAACCAGTGCAATTATCCAAATTAATTATACAGGTGAGAATGAAATTGACTGCAATTAAGTGAATTATGCAATCATCCAATATGCATTTGAGCGCAGTAAAACACCAAACAGCGAATTTTCAGTATCTAGAAATTGCTATGCAATTAAGTGGAATGCATTGTATTGAGATCTTAAACTCTGCTATTCTGTTAGAAGTAATGGGTGGGAGTTCATGCAGTTGCCAGCTGCAAGGGAAAGATTTATGGATAGAATTCCACCTGGGTCTAGATTTACTCTATTAGCATTTTAGAGCTAGAGAAATCAAATTCAATTTTATAATGGTTTCTTTAGAGCTGGTCCTCACCTTCAAAGCCCTCCATGGTCTTCTGCAATCTCCTAACTCCCTACCATCCTGCTCGCTACCTCCGCTCAGCGTCTCCGGCCTGCTTCACAATCCCCCCCACCTCGCTCGCCCCACTATTGGCGGGCGGGCCTTCTGCCACTCTGCCTCCACCCTCTGGAACTCCATCCCACAGGCCCTCTGCCTCACCCCCTCCTTTGCCTCCTTCAAGACCCATCTGAAGACCCTCCTCTTTGACCATGCTTTCGATCTCCCTGCCTCCCCTCCGCCCTCCATCCTCCCTGACCCCCAGCTCAGGTCTGAGACTCTGTATGCTTTGTAATGATCTGGCAGATTTCTAATTTGAAATATTGATCCCAGCATTGACAAACAGCTTGATTCTTAGGGTTTATGGTTTATTCGGAACCCTTCCAGATTTGCTTATCAGTGATCTAGACTAGATCACTGCTCCGCAGTTCAGTAAATCTTATTCTATCTCAAACTCTCTCTCTTTGTCAGTATTATCTGTCTCCACTTTCTTCATGGGCCATTTGTTCATCATTCTCTGTGAAAAGTAGTTCAATATTGCTATTTGTTCCATGTCTCCGAAACGTGCTTGTTATAGAGTTTGTGCTGGTATCAAACTTATTTTGTTCAGTTTGTCTATTCCCCTTAGAACTGTGAAAACATCAATAAGAACTCTCTTGAGCCACTTTTTCTGTTGTGTAAATATTCGTAGTATGGGCTACAGACTCTCTTCAACATCCACAATCATGTGCTGCTTTGATATCAACTGACAGGATCTAGACTTGTGACCTGGAAGTCCATTCTTCCCCTTTCCTGAACTTTAGTATTTCTCATCAGCAGATATTTTTCTCTGCTGACTTGGCAAAGTGATACTACAATACATGGCGGGTCTAGCTTCAATTGAGGGTTTAAGTGATGGTTCTAAGTTCATGGCCCAGTGTTGAGTGTGACTGAAATCACCTTTCTAACCCATCCTTACTTACTGAAATGAGCAGATGCAGGTTGTATTGAGCATCCAGTTGACTGTTAATGCATTTAATTTTTGCCTGCTAGAGAAATACTTTGACATGAAGAAAAACCAATGCAAGGAGGCTCTTGATATATACAAGAAATTCCTCACTAGAATGACGAGGATCTCAGAGTTCCTTAAAGTTGCTGAAGTAAGGTTTCCTTTGATTTACAAAACTTTTTAAAAATCATTTCAAAATGTATTTTTCTTAATATTGGTATTTGTTACAATTGTGGTATTCTTTGTTAAACACAGCAAGTTGGAATTGACAGGGGAGACATACCAGACCTTTCTCAGGTAGGCACCTTTCTTGACTAAACTTATCTTACATTTCTAGTGCTGTATTTGTTCAGAGGTTTATTAACAGTTTTCAGTTTAAACAGGTTGTCTGAGCTTTGGCTACCATGCTAAAAGCCACATTGCAGCAAATTTCACATATACATGGTTCTAATTATATTTAATTCTTTACATCTGTAGCCTTAGCTCTCAGTGTCCCACATTTCAGAACTTTCAGTGAGCAGTGAGGATGCTTTAAGACAAAGCATGGTGAACATTTATTTCCAGCTCTCAATTTAGAAATGTGACCCAAGCAGATGCTTTGATTCATAGTTCTATGTTTTTTTTTACTTTTTTTAAAAAAAGGTTAGAATCAGCTGATGAGGCCATTGTCTAAAGTGAAATGAAACCATAGAGACTTTCAGATCCATGGTTCATTCCCCAGTTTACAGGGACTTTGCTGATCTCAGCTGGACCAGCAATGGATGTTGTAATTGGATTTATGTTCCTGGGCAAGAGTGGAAAAAATAGTGAGTTTGTGATTGTTTTTTGAGGGCAGAATGAACAGTTGGATAGAGTGTGTATGTGGTCATCTACTCATGCCTGGATTATGCTAGGTTTTATATTCTCTTTCTCCCTCTCTCCTCCACCATCATAATAATAATCATCCTTGCATTTGAAATAGCACCTTATCACGTCATTGAGACGTCTCAAAGCATTTCACAGAATATAATAATCCTTGCATTTGATATAGCGCCTTATCACATCTTCGAGGTGTCTCAATGCGCTTCACAGAATAAACTGTAAAGTGAATTGACTATATTTTGTGGGCGATACACAGTATCTGATTGCGCACAGCAGTGTCCCACAAACAGTCGTGGATTGAATGACCATCACTTTTTTCAATCAGTAGGTAGTTTACTGACATTCATTCTCTTTGCTCAAACATAAAGAATGACTTTTTGGAGGATGACAAGTGCCTCTAGAACCATGAAATAGACACAGTTTGTATCTTTAAGATTGAGGGTGAAAAAATTACAGGGGGTTTAAAAAAAAATCAAGACCTCATTTAGATATATGCTTGAGGACAAGACCATTTAAGCAACAGCCTGATTCGTGCTTTGAGAATATTCCCTCAAAGAGATTGTCATATTATTTTATATTCTTTGCATAACTCATTAAACTTTTGTATAGCACCTGATGGCTATTTCATTTGTGTTGAAAGCTGCCGTCCGAGAACCTTGGTTTCTGGCAAAGTTTTCCTCAAGAAAAGTGTTTTGAATTTAAATGGAAGCTGCACTTAGATAAAGTGTATATCTTCTATATGTGACCAACTACACCTCAAGCCTCCTTGTAGTAGTTGCCTCTATTTAAACTTGAACTAGCTAAATTCTGCCCTAAAATCCATTTTCCATGACGCCATTTCATTGTCAAAATTATTTGTAGTTTAAGTCATTTCACAGTTGTATATTCACCACTTGTGTTTAAAACAAAATAGTTTTGGAGTATCGTTAGTTTGATCTACATACTTGGATTTGGTTGGTAAAGAGCTATATAGGTGCGTTGCCTATGGAAACCTACCTAACCTGAACAGTGATCTGTAAGGTTTCAGTTTGTGTACATACCATGCCATTTATCTAAAGTATAACATTGTGGAAAAAGCGGAAGCACTCTTTCTAGAAAAATGTTGCTGAACAGAAAAGCAAGGAATACATCCAACGAGCACCTCATTTTTCAAAATTGGTTATTCAGCTGAAATAATACATCGGTGGTGCTCGTGAAAAAATAATTTCTTGCTTATGTACTATACGTACATTTTGAACCTGCATTACCTGAAGTATGATTAGATGAAGTAAAATTAATTGTTAAAGTTAATGTAAACTGCCAATAGTACATATAGCTTGATTCAATACAAGGAATTAAATCAATATTGTCCGGGTTTTTTGATTTGTTTTCCTACTCAAGCACATTGACGATGTTCATATTTTAGGTTGAGTGTTACATTTGGGATTTTATGAGAACAGTTTAACATTTTTAATGTTTTTGCCCATGGAATACAAATGCTGTTGGACAAACGCCTCACCGTGATTTTGCGTTCCTTTTGTACTTTCCTTTCCTCCATTTGTGTGCATTTGCCTGAATCATTTTAATATCGGAGAGATTGAGCCCAACATTTTTTGTATTGGCACCAATGGCATCTTTTAATTTTTGGACAATCATCTATCAATTATCTTTGAAACCTGGGATTAGGATTGGACCTGAAGGAATTATCTTGAACAGAGAATTTTGTTAAGTGTTTTCATAATCTCAACATTGATTTAACCACCAAGAAAAACACTTCAGTATATTTGATGGATGATAAAACTGATAACTGGGAGAGAGAAAGCTTTGTAGCAATAAATGTAAAGAAAATGAAATTACCGCTGAGTACAATGAGTAGTTGAATAGTTTGGGCAAAGGAGGGAACAGCTTGTGAATGTGTACTTTGTATATTGTAGGTTGCAACTTCCTATATTAAACAACTTGCTTTTATTTTATTTCATTTTAACATTTTCTTGAAGTCTGTTTTAATTTTGTTTTTAAATAAAAGCACAAAACAATCTGTAATTTAAGTACAGGATATTTGCTTTTCTTTTTGAAAAAAAATATTTTGTAGCCAATATGTGTTTCTCATCCTAGGCACCAAGTAGCCTTCTAGATGCTTTAGAACAGCATCTAGCTTCATTGGAAGGGAAGAAGGTTAAGGACTCCTCAACTGCTGCAAGCAGGTAATTAAGCATTTATTTAGAGTAACTTATTCTTTACTATTTGGATAGATTTGTTTTAAAGGGAAAAAAAACATACTGTAAATCCTGCTCTTCACAGGGTTCACTCTAATCGTGTTACAACTGTATTTTTAGGGGTAGTAAAGGAGATTTCTGTTCTCACCAAGCACACTAACGTTTTGGTCAGCTGGGTGTGTGCCACCTGCGGAAATTTGTTACCATGCTTAAGAGTATTCAAACAAGACTGAGTGTTCCATATATGTCAACTGCACATGGAAATTCCCATTCCTGGAAAGGAATGCAGACTCTCACTGGAGAATGCATGCTGCTTACCTAATTCTGGAGAGTATTCGGCATAGGTTGGCAAGAGCCAAGACTTGGGGATCCCAGATTGTGCATTGGGGTACTGCTGGATTTTAACCAGCTAGAACCGTATAGCTTGCCATTGAGAACACTGCCTTTGCCTTGCAAGCTTCCTGCTGCTTGTCCAGCTAGGTCATATACCCATTCGTCATTTGGCTTGAAGTGTTAACAGGAGCAGAGTGGGAAGAATCTGGGCCCCGAGTGACTGGTCTGCCCCTCTCAATGTGCCAGGCTGTCTGATCTATCATCAGCAGTATTGTGGATTTCTGCAGACCTGTCTTTCTTGGGAATCAGAAAGACTGATTTTTCCATAGAGGATTGACTCAGATTTCTGACGTTCCATTGCCAAGCACATCACTTTAGAGGCAGTTCGGCCTGGTTACCTTCACCCTCCCCACAAAGGATAGTCATGAGTTTGTCAAGCACTCTAACCAATGCCTCAACCGCAAACGTATATGTGGAGTCCTGTAGCTCAGTGATTAGAGCACTCGCTTTGCAAGTGAGAGACCTGAGTTCAATTCCAGGCAGAGGGCGAAACCTTGGGCAAGTTTCCTTACTCCACACACCTAATAATAATCCCTCCAAAAAAACAAAAAACAATAATAAATTGGTCATTTTCAATCTACGACTGTTTGTGGGACATTGCTGTGCGCAATTGGCTGCCGCGTTCGCCCACAAATATACAGTCAATTCATTTTACAGTGTGTTCTGTGAAGCGCTTTGGGACGTCCTTCCGATGTGAAAAGCGCTATATCAAATGCAAGGATTATTATTATTATTATAAGAATATCCATCAACACCCCAAGAATATCGGTAAACCAAGCAGATTTATAGCTTATATCCTCAAATACTAGGAGCATCATTCTAGCAGTGTGCCTCCAGGAATAGTCTTGTGGGCAGTGTCCTTCCAGGAATAGTCTTGGGAGCAGTGTGCCTCCAGGATTGTTTTGATGTGAATGCAATGTTGTCTTAATATCTAACCTCCCACTCCCTCTGCTGGAGAACAGTGAACTCCCTCCTCACCCCCATCTCACAAGAATAATAAAACCCAATCAATATGGTGAATGAAAAGCAGGGAATGATTTAAATGGATACCACTAACCTCCTACAAAGAAAAATGACTATAGAGCTTGTTTGTTCTTCTGCATCATGAGCTCAAGCGTACTGTTGTCAACACATTCCCAAGCTTGTGGTATGCAACAGCCATTTTTGTTTTAGAATAAAGTTCAATTGCTTTGCAGCTGGATCATTTTACTTCACTAAAACAAAAAGATTTAGAGGAGACCTTGCAGAAGTGTTCAAAATGACTAGGGGTTTTGACAAGGTAAATAAAGACAAGCTGGTTGGTGGTAACTTATGGTCATAAATTAAAGATCATTACCAGAAGACCCAAGGGAGCAGTTGTTTTTCTTTACATAACATGATTTAAAATACCCTATGGTGGGTGAAGCAGATTTTTCTTAAAACCTGCTAATTAGACAAATGTTTGAAAAAGAAAATATAAAAGGGGTTTATAGAAAGGGTAAATTATTGGAACTAAATAGATAACTTTTTCAGAGGCCTGAAGGTCTTCTGTGGTATAAAGTTTCTATGCATTATTTTCCCCCCTTGTTTTTTTCCAGGGCAAGCACTCTTTCAAATGCAGTCTCCTCATTAGCTAATACTGGCATGTCACTTAGCAGAGTGGATGAAAGGGAAAAACAGGCCGCTTTGGAGGAAGAACAAGCTCGGTTAAAAGCTCTGAAGGTGGTGTTTTGTGGTTCCATTCTCTTGTTTTCCTTCTCGCTGCTGCCTAAACAAAATGTTCTTAGCAATATTATGTCAACAGAAATGCTGAAAATCCACAGCAAGTTGATAAGCATTTTTAAAGAGAAAGATAGGTAAGGACCCTTAAAGTAGTTTTTATTCACAGAATTAAAACCCAAGTTTTTTTTCCCCTGAGCGGGTGGGGGAGGAGGAATATTTAAGTCTTTTTTTCTCTTGTCAAACAGTGAAAGAAAAACTAATTAAAAAAAATTGGGTAAAATCTGGTGAGGATCATGATTTATTTTAGAATATCCCCTTAACGCATGCATCCCCAAACCGCAAAATGGAGACGACACAATGCCAATTCCAGCAATGGCCAGCAAAGCTGGACCCAACCCTGCAGTGAGGCAAGTTTCAGGATATGTGCGCTTGACTGCGACCAGCTTTATTGAGAATTCCTGCAAACTGGAATTGCACCCAGGCTCGTCTCAGGATATGCGCACACTTTTACAAGGCACAAAATTGGCGGATTCGGGTTTTTGTAATTATGCTGGTGAAAACTGTCTTTTACTGATTGACTTTCACTGGGGGGGAAAAAAATTGGTAAAACATAACTTTTTACTAGTCTTTAAAGATAGCTTCACAGAATCATACTCCAAATGTAGTGAAGGATTCAACCTTTATAACTAATTTTTAGTCAGTTGCTGATAGACTTGTTGTGGATTTGCAGGATTTTTGTTTTCAGATTTCCAAGAATCATCATGTTTTTGTATTTGAACAATGTTATGTTTAGCTTGTTCTAGTGTTGATGACATTGGTGTTCAGATTCCAATGAGATTTCAACCTTTCTAATGCCATTGTCTGTTGTCACATTTTCTAACTGTTCTTAGACCCACCAAATTAGAAGCTACAGTAAATTGAGTTCATCCCAGTTTTCAATTGCCCAGTCTGCAACTCGTTCTTCCTTGGGCAATTTTTGACGTGGCTAAAAGTATCATAGTACTTGAGGACGCTGAGGTTTGAAAACATCTTGTACTGTTGGTAAACTAATAATTAAAGCCATCTGTTACTTTTTAGTTGGCAATACATGACTGGTTTATACTTTCTACAAAGAAAACCGAAAACCGTTTTCTACAATATCTTCTGAGTAAATTCATTCTTCCCTTTAATTATCAAGCCTATCTTATAGATGTATTTATAGTCTTCACATGCTTTTAACTGCCTTTGTGGGGGACATTTTTATGGGATTTCTCCTCCCTTTGCAGACAGCTTGTTGTCAACCACCAAAACCCTCCCTCCCTCTGCGGAGGGGACGGAATGGGCTAAGTCAGATTCCATTCAGAAATGATGTAGAACTTGCAATATTTTTCTTATCCCCCTTGAGTTCTTCATTACTTCTTCATCTATAATCAATGAAGTACCTTCATATTACAAGAAATTATTAAAATGGAAGTTTTTCCTGTTAAATATTTCATACTTCTTTGAATGCTATAGGGATCAAAAGGAGCAAGCAAAAAAAAAGGATGCCCTCCATCTGTTCATTAACTCTCACTTGGCTGAATGAAGCAGATTACACTCAGTTAGCACAATTTTAAATTATCAATTGCATTTTTTTTGTGACTGGCTTGAATATATTTAAGCAGATATTCAATAGCTCAAATTGTTGTTCAACAGGAGCAGCGCTTAAGGGAACTCGCAAAGAAATCTCAGCCATCCTCTGCCACGACTGCAGCATCACCTAGCTCTACGTCAGGAGGAAGTATCAGCACTACAGCAGCTATAGGCCTCTTCTCAACACCCAGTTCTTCCAACCACAGGTACAAATTACAGAGCCTTGGGAGCATGTAGTTAATATAAATTTGGTTTATAATGGATAGGATTTAGCTTTAGTGTTGTAATCACAACAATTTTAGCCATCTCACCACTGAGTCAGAAGGTTGTCAATTCAAGTCCCATGTTGGGACTTTGAATTCATACAGTGTAGGTTGAGCTTCAGTGCACTGCTGGGGGTATACTGCACTGTTGGAGGTGCCGCCCTTCAGATGAGACGTCAAATCGAGATCCCTTTACACCTTGAAAAATGAAGAGAATTTTTTCTGGTTTCCTGGCCAGCAATCTCCCAAATAAAATTGGTTTATGGTTTATGGTTGCTTGTGGGACATTACTATGTGCAAATTGGCTGCTTACCTACTAATTACACAATCACTATACTTTGCAGTATATTCTGTGAAATGCTTTGAAATGATCTGCTGACATGAAAATATTATTTATAACAATTGTACAGTCAATAAACACATTTTATATATAAAGTAGATTTTAGAACAATGTTATAGAACTTTAAAATTATCCAATAGCAAGGGATAATCTTTTCTTTATTTCAAAACCCTGGCAAAGAGAATTCCCCATGATGGTCATGACCTCCCATTGAACCAGTCTCTCTCGCTCTCTCACTGAATTTCTCTCCCTGACTATCTCACTTCAAACTGTTCAACTAGCACCTAACTCTGCTCTATTAGCAAAAGTTGTGAACATGCACACAATATTGTTTCAAGGCCCGAGCTGGTGGCCTATATAGTGAAAACACTAGCGCAGACTTGATTGTCCTTTTTTCTATGTTGTAACACAGAACATTATTATTAGTTTAATAGTATTCAAATTGGTCACATTTTAAAATGGGTATGTCAAAAAGAATAGTTTGAGGTAATTTTGTTGCTAAATTGAACAGCAACAACTTGCATTTATAAAGCGCCCCTCACACAGGGTAGCTTCCCAGAGGACTTGACAGTGCCGGAGCACGACGCAGAGCCAGGGGGAGGTAACCATAGGGTCAGTCGAAAATGAAGGTCTTCAGGCGTGATCTGGAGATGGGGAAGGAGTAAGGCGGGGGAATAGAGGAAGAGTGTTCTAAAGTTTTGGGGTGCAGTGGCTGAAAGCGCGACCACCAATGGTGGAATGGAGGGACATGCAGGAGGCCCGAGCCAGTCGAGCGGAAAAAAAAAAGCCAGTCGAACAAACCTTTCAGTTTAGAAAATTCTACTTTTGCTTATAAGGTTCGATTTTATGTTGGTGTATAAGGCTCTTAGGACTCTTCGGCCTCAATAAGTTATGAGGACTTTAAAGATGCTATATGGGATAGAGGCAGTAAGCCTGGATAAGCCAAGTAAGGACAAGAGGGCACAAGTTCAGGATTGTAAAGGGCAATTTTAGAACATAGTTAAATAGAGGATAATCATATCTAACTGCCAAATGTCTAGTTGCTAGTTATTTACATAGAGAATAATCAACAGCAACTCAGAAATGAGTTACTGGGAAGGATGTTAGGAAAATAGGAAATGCTTTGAGATGTCGAGGCTAAGACACTGGACTCATTAAGAAATGGCTTGGAGCTGTAAGGGAATGACAGTACTGTTAAGATTGTGAAAGCATGAGATTACATGGACTTCTTTATTCAAATTTCTCTTATCTTATAATAAAACGGAAATTGCTGAACAAGACTTCAAATATTTCTTACTTGAGAGGAATTATTTATATTTGAGCTAAAAGTAACCACTTGCAGAAACAATATCTGGTTGTTTAACAGGAAAGCAGCTGCTCCAGTGTTCTTTTCAGCTCCTTTGGCTGTCATTAATCCATTCATTTACTCAAATGTGGATCAGGATCTACTGTAGCTCTTATCGTGTTATCTATAAACTGCTTACTTTGCGGAATTATTTCCGTGCAACCTTTGCATACTAATGAATTGTATTTAAATGCTTCTTGTTTGGTGGATCAAAACATCTGTGGATTCCCAGATGGGACTGAAGTTATTTGTTTTCACTGCCAGAATTAACACTGTAGTGTGAGTTTGCCAGTCTTAACTTATCTGAGTGCCAACTGGTTGTGGTCAAACCAATCAGTCACCATCCAAATAGGTACTAGGAATACAGCGTGAAGTTTTGGTCTCCACAGTACAAAAAGGATATTGCAGTGATTGAGAGGATACGAGGAGGGCAACCAAAATGATTGAGGGCATGGAGGGACTGGACTACAAGGAGCGATTAAGTAAACTGGGCATGTTCACGGAGGAAACAAGAAGGTTGAGAGACGATACAATTGCGTTTTTTAAGATTCTAAAGGGACTGGATAATGTAGATCACGATAAGTCGTTTTATCTTGTCCAGAGTACTAGAACCAGAGGACATGGCCTGCGATTGAAAGGGGATAAATTCAAAATAAATCAGCGGAAACACAAGTTCAGTGAGCAAGTAGTAAATGAATGGAACAGGCTCCCTCTGGAGATGGTGGAAGCTGAAAGTGTTGATTCTTTCAAAAGGAAATGAGATAGATTTCTTTTAGGAAATAATATCTTGGGATACAGTATATAGTTTGGGACATGACATGTGCAAGCGACTGCTAGGATAATGGAAGAACAACTGGATGGACCTTGGTCTTCTTTTGTCCAGCAATTCTTAATGTTCTTAGCTTTCTTGGTGTAGCAGGTCTGTACGAGGTTGCTTTTCACTCTAATTGGGGATACTGCTTCCCAGAGAGGAAATACTGTGTGAGTGTGTAGTGGAACAGTTGGAAATTACTTTTCTTTATTCTCACATAATCTACTCACAGTGGGATTGTGCCCATCTATAATAATAAATAATAATCCTTGCATTTGACACGACGCTTTTCACGTCTTCTAAACATCTCAAAGCGATTCACAGAATATACTGTAAAGCGAATTGACTGTATATTTGTGGGCAAAACCCAGTTCTCCAAGGGTGTGGACTATAGCTTTTAATCTGTTCCTGGACAAACTCCGCTGTTCGAATGTAAAAATGCTCATTTGGAAATAACTATCCCTCAGTAAGTAAGAAGCAGAAGTCTAGAGTCTAATTCTGTTTGCACTGCCCGAATAATTAATTTCTAACTTGTAACATGACGCTTTTTAATATTATTATTATTATATTAGTTTCCTATTTTAAGTGGCTCTCTCTCTGCATAGTGCAAATGTGATTCAGAATGAGGATTAGTAGCCTGAACCAGACAGATAGATCCAGTGCCTGCTTGAAAGTGCAGTGATGGCTTTCAACGGCAGACATTGGTGGCAGCTGCAAATGAAGTTGAAACAAAGCCTTTCCTTGTTCCCCCTGCCATCCAGATCCAGGAATTTCAAGAGGACATTCCCCCTTTAAGAAATTCCTGTATCCTGGTTTTATGGCAAGTGACCCTTGAATGTACCTCTTTATTAGTACCTTTCTTGTCACCCACAAGAATGTTCTCCATAAATAGCGTCTGGTACTCGTGAGGTTACGTTCAACTTCTAATAGAATATTATCGAAATGCTATTTCTTCCATTCCACAGCTTATTTAGAGACTTTGTATCTTAGCTGCATCTTCTAATTCAGGTTATCAATATTATATCTTAAAATTGTTCTTATACTATCTATAAATTGCTTACATTGCCAGATTATTTCTGTGCAACATTTGCATACTAATAAACTATTTAAATACTTAATTGTTTGAAGGATCTAAACAGCTGTTCCATTTTGTTACTCCAGCACATCCAAACTGCCAAACGATTTGCTTGATCTGCAGCCAACATTTCAACCATCCATACATTCGATCTCAACAGGACCTTCAGCCGCTAATACATGGGGAGGTGAGCTTCTTAGGATAATCGCTAATTAGCTATGATAATTGTTCTGGGGGAAACTGTTTTGCTGTCCACAGATGTTCATGGTCATTATTCAAAGACAATGGTAAAGTTAAGGTGGAATGTAACTATCATAATATTTTGTATTAGGTTACCTGCTTACAAAAGTTTTCAGGACTAACTAAGAGACCATGTCTGGAGAATATTGAGATTTTTAAGAATCCAAGGTATCATTGGTTAATAGAAATGACATTTTAAGAAAGATGAGTTAAATGCACAACTAGAAACAAACGGGTATGATCTAGTAGCCATCACTGAGACATGGTTACAGGGAGATCAAGGGTGGGAGCTAAATATTCCAGGGTATGTGGCGTATAGAAAAGATAGCCAATGTGGTAAACAAGGAGGGGGGGTGGCCCTGCTAATAAAGGATGGGATAAAAACAGTAGAGAGGAAAGATTTTAAATCAGAAAAGCAGGAAGTAGAGTCAGTATGGGTAGAGGTACATAACAACAAGGGGCAGAAAACCCTAGTGGGAGTAGTTTATAGACCCCCGAACAGCAGTCACAGTATCTCTCAAGGTATAAATCAGGAAATTAGCAGAGCATGTAGTAAAGGAAAAACATTAATTGTGGGTGATTTTAATCTGCACATAGATTGGGACAACCAAATTGGGAAAAGTATGAGAGAGGAAGAGTTTATAGAATGCATTAGGGATAATTATTTAGATCAGTATGCCGAGGAGCCAACCAGGGAACAGGCCATATTAGACCTTGTTTTGTGCAATGAAGCAGAGCTGATCAGCAAACTGGAAATTAAGGCTCCTCAAGGGCAAAGTGATCATAATATGATGGAATTTAGCATTAAGTTAGAGAGAGAAGTCGTTAAGTCCAAAGCAAAGGTTTTAAATTTAAGTAGAGCCAATTTTGCTGGTATGAGAGAGGATTTAGCCAAAATAAACTGAGAAATTAGACTTAAGGACGTTTAAGGAGATAGTGCAAAATTCCCAGCGAGCACGTATTCCTTTGAGGAATAAGAATGCCACGGGAAAGGTGGCCCAACCGTGGCTAACTAGAGCAGTTAGGGAAAGTATAAAGTTAAAGGAAGAAGCCTGTAAAGCAGCTAAGATGAGTAGTAAACTCAAGGATTGGGAGAACTTTAGGGATCAACAAAGGAGAACCAAAAATGTGATTAAGAGGGAGAAAATGGAAAACAGGGCAAACTAGCGAAGAGTTTTTATAACTATATAAAGAGGAAGAGGCTGTCAAAGATAAATGTGGGTCCTCTACAGGCAGAGACGGGGGGAATTATAGTAGGGGACAAAGACATGGCAGAGTCATTAAACAAGTACTTTGCTACTGTCTTCACCTTAGAAGACACTGAAAACCTACCAAGAATAGAGGAGAACCAAGAAGACAATGTTAGCGAGCAACTTGGGGAATTAATATTAGTAAAGAAATGGTTTTAGGTAAATTGTCAGGTCTTAAAACTGATAAATCTCCTGGACCTGATGGCCTACATCCTAGGGTTTTAAAAGAGGTGGCTACTGAGATAGTGGATGGCTTGTCTTTGATCTTCCAAAATTCTCTGGATTCTGGAACGGTTCCCATTGATTGGAAGATTGCAAATGTAACACTACTATTTAAGAAGGGGGGGAGAGAGAAGATTGGGAATTATAGACCAGTTAGTTTGACATCAGTGGTAGTGAAAATTCTTGAGTCCTTAATTAAGGATGTCGTTATGGGATTCCTGGAAGACCATAACAAGATTAGGCACAGTTTACAAAAGGGAAGTCATGCTTAACTAATCTTTTAGAGTTTTTGAAGATGTATCTAGCAGGTTAGATGGGGGGAACCAGTAGATGTAGTATATTTAGATTTTAAAAAGGCATTTGACAATGTGCCACACAAAAGGCTATTGCACAAGGTTAAGGCCCACGGGATTAATGGGAACATATTAGCATGGATTGAAGAGTGGCTAACGGGTAGAAAACAGAGAGTAGGGATAAACGGGTCATTCTCGAATTGGCAGGATGTGACTAGTGGAGTGCCACAAGGATCAGTGCTTGGGCCTCAGCTATTTACAATTTACATCAATGATCTAGACGAGGACATTGAATGTAACGTATCTAAATTCGCAGATGACACTAAACTAGGTGGGAGAGTAAGCTCTGAGGATGATGCAAAAAGATTGCAACGGGATATAGATAGGCTAGGGGAGTGGGCGAGTAGGTGGCAGATGGAATTTAATGTGGGGAAGTGTGAAGTTATTCACCTAGGTAGCAAAAATAGAAAAACAGATTATTTTCTAGAGGGGGAGAGATTAGATAGTATTAGTGTTCAGAGGCATTGGGTGTCCTTGTACAGTCTCAAAACGTTGTTTGTGGTGCAGCAAGCAACTAAGAAGGCGAATGGCATGTTAGCGTTCATTGCAAAAGATTTGGAGTACAAGAGTAGGGAAGTCTTGTTGCAACTGTATAGGGCCTTGGTGAGACCGCACCTAGAGTATTGTGTGCAGTTTTGGTCTACGTATTTAAAAAAGGACATACTTGCCGCAGAGGGGGTGCAGCGTAGATTCACTCGGTTAGTTCCTGGGATGAGGGGACTGACCTACGAGGATAGGCTGAATAAAAGAGGGCTATATTCTCCAGAGTACAGAAGAATTAGGGGAGATCTTATTGAAACGTATAAGATTCTTAAAGGACTGGATAAAGTAGACACTGAGGGTCTGTTTCTCCTGGTAGGAGAATCTATAACCAGGGGTCACAGTCTTAAAATTAAGGGTCAGCCTTTTAGAACAGAGTTGAGAAAACATTTCTTCGCTCAGAGGGTAGTGAATTTATGGAATTCACTACCCCAGAAGGCTGTAGATGCTCAGTCCTGAACATCTTCAAGGCTGAGACTGATAGATTTTTTAAAAAATAGAGGGATTAGGGGATATGGGGATAGGGCAGGTAATTAGAGTTAGGTCTGAAGATCAGCCATGATCTTATCGAATGGCGGGGCAAGCTCGAGGGGCCGAATTGGCCTACTCCTGCCCCTAATTCGTAAGTTCTTTAAACAAAAGCCATCTTGTCGGTTCAGTGCTCCTTATTATTTGGATAGGTTATTTTCTGTTGCTTATTTTGCCATCAGTGGCAACCTTCTGCCACTCTGCTCCCACCCTCTGGAACTCCATCCCATAGCCCCTTCACTTCCTCCCTTGCCTCCTTCAACACCGGTCTCAAGACCCTCCTCTTGGAGCGTGCCTTCAGTCACTCTGCTTTCCCCCTTGCCCTACACCCTCCAAAATTCCAAACCCCAACTCGGGTCCGAAATACTGATTGTCCAGCGCCTTGGGGTGCCCTCCTGCCGTGAAAGGAGCTATACCATTGTAACTTTGTGGTTGTTTTAGTGAGCCCTAAGATGACTCTGCTGAAAGAAAGTTGTTGCTGTAAATTTATTGGTTAACAGCCATTTGGGAAGAAATTCCACCTGTGTCTAGATTTAATCTTATTCATATACCATTTCAGAGCATCAAAAAATTGGCAAATTCTTAAACAACGACTTCATTTTGAAACCAGTTTTCTGTAGGTTTTATTGAATGAAGGACAGAAAACAGACTTCAAATTGTAGACTGATTTCAACAATTTGACAAATTCTGGAGACTCTGAAATGCTAAGTGAATAGAGTAAATCTAGACTCAGATGGAATTTCAACCCCATTAGTGCCCTTTACAAATTAATAGAACCAATATGTTGAATGAAATTTTGGATATCATATTTTAGAAAGTGTCAAAAGGGAAGTTCATTGTTATTTATCATTTACCTGCTCTCTTTTTATGTTTCATTTTAATGTATAAATGAAATTCAAAGATTGAGCGATTACAATATTTTCTTAATACCTGAACATAATGTATGATCTGCATTTAAGTGATAATCAACAACAGCAACTTACATTTATATAGCACCCCTCATGCAGGATAGTGTCTCAGTGTGAAGCCTGACGCCTAGCCGGTGGGAGGGAGCAGGTGACCATAGGCACAGTCAAAGGTTTTGAGCCATGATCTGAAAATGGGTTTGGAGTGAGTCAGGTGGAGGGATTCCAATTCAGGGCGTAGTAACTGAAAACATGGCTGCCAGTAGTGGAACAGAGGGGAAGAGAGACATGCAGGAAGCTGGAACGGATGGTGGCTGGGGAATAAGTAGGTCGGAGACATAGGAATGTGCAAGGCCTGAAGGGATTTCGTGAGGACGAGCATGAGGAACTCGAAATCCTAATTGTACAAGACTTTTTCCGTGGTTTGTGAATTGACACCCGTAGCTTGCAAGAACCGTTTGTGCTCAGAAATTTGTATGCATGGTCTAATGATGATTTTGTTAAACCTCACAAAAACGCCTCACCGTATGGACTTTTTTCACTGTTCTTACAAAACAGTTGCAAGATAACAGCTTATTGTTTTCTATCAATTTAGTAATACAGTTTGATTTTGGATATGATCTAACAAACAAGCCTTTTACTGGGGTCATGCAGCTATATCTTTTCTCATGTTTTAGATAGGGGCGAGTTTTTTTTGAATTATGAACTTAAATGATTTGCATCTTTTACTGTGGCCAAGTTAGCAAATGGTGCTTCCGCACTTGCTTCTTGGATTTCAGGAAATACGGTTCATCTTCCGTAGCTGTGACTGAATTGAGCTTTTCCATCTTGAACAACTTTAATCATTGGCAGAGAAAACATTTGAGAAATTAAGATTTTTGATTAGATTTTGATAAGTTATTCAAAGCAAACTTCCTCTGCGGCGAGATGCTTATGTAACTTGAAATTTATACCCATCCTTTTTTAAAAAATAAAAATGCTTCCTGGATTGCATCATATTCTGCAACTGAAACAACAGATACGTTGAACTTTTCCCAGGCATTATTAATACCACTTGGATTTTTGTAAGATTAAGCCAGGACTTCCCTCCCTCTTCACTTTTATCTTTCAAGAACCCAGCCTCCACTAGGCATTTTCCCACTGCAACAT